AGCGACCCCTCCTTGGGTTTCCGAGGCAGTATCACTACGGAAGTAGGATTGCCCAACCTTCCTTCCGAGGAGTGGCTGGTGGGTTTGAGCCGCCAGCCGTCTGGTTAGCAGGCAAGTGTCTTAGCCACTATGCTACCAGAGCTCCCTTAAGAGGCATGCACTTCCTAAAATACAGTAAACAATTAAAGTGAATAATTAAAGAATATTATTTGAAGGGGCTAAATCTGCAGCCTTCCCCAGCCCTGCCCAAATAGAAAGCTGGGCTCTGCCAATAGTTCCTGGCTCCGGGCTTGGCCTAACTCTCGCTGCCTCTCTGTGTGTCTTGCCCCACAGGGCATGGTAGAGAAGTGGCTTCAGCAGGTGGAGCAGATTATGCTTGCAAGTATGAGAGAGGTCATTGGACTTGGGATTGAAGCATATGTCAAGGTAAGCAAGAATAAGGGTCCACGTCCCAGCATGCTGCTGCAGTGATGGGAATTTGGGCAGAAGGTTAAACATACCAATTTTAATGGTCTCTCTGCCATCTGCCTCAACCCATTCATTCCTGCTGGGTGACACCTGGCACCCTATACCTCTGTTTCCTTTCCCTGTTAATCGTAGGGATGAACATATTTCTGGTAAGTTTGCAATGGGAAACAGCTGATAACGTGATTGTTAGCCATGACCTGCTGGTTGCTATGGGTCAGTCCTTTCTGTGGGTTGTAACTGATGGCACGAGGTTTGATTAGAGCCCCTTCCAGTTAAGTAGGTCCTCTCAAAAAACAAAACAAACCCAGTGCCATCGATTCAGTTCTGACTCATGGTGACCCTTTAAAGCAGAGAAGAAATCATGTTGAGTTTCCAAGGTTTATAAATCTTTATAGAAGCAGATTGCTTTAGCTTTCTCCTGTGGAGCAGCCGGTAGATTTGAACCTCCAACGTTCTGGTTAGCACATGCTTTTACCACATGCTTTAACCACTATGCTACCAGAGCTCCAAAGCATGAGCCCCTAGTAGTACAAATCATTAACATACTCAGCTGCTACAAACAGCTTGGA